AGAAACGAGGCAGACGGCGGGTAACAATACCCCATTGTTACCAGAGCCAGGCACGGGCGCGGCTTAAACGTGCAGGCAGGCGAAAAATACTCACTGATCGGGAAAGCGAAGTGCCATTCTTGAACACTGCGTTACCATGGAAATTCGTTATTCAAATTGCCTTCCCTTATTAAGGTGCATTTATTTGTATGGAGTGAAGACGACGCTGATATTTGACAAAGGGATCCGGCGACCCTTTGTATTTGGAAACGAAATTTCTGAAAGCAAAATTTATTTGGAAGCACACGGCGGTATTTTTTCTTCTTTCTTTCTTTCTTTTCTCTTTATATATTTTCTTTCTTTCTTTATTTTTTGCTCTACAGGCCGGTTTGTAACTCAGATGAACACAAAAGCGAAGCGAATTTTGAATTCACGTACATATTACCGATGTACACTACTCAAAAGAATTAACGGAACAAGAGAACAGAATGTTTTTGTCAAGGTCTATATGGGCTACCGTTAGAACAAGAGGCATTAAAGTTACGGGAAAATCATTCGGGTGTTGTCACATAACATTAACGCCTCTTGTTCTAACGTTAGCCCGTATAGACCATGACAAAAACATTCTGTTCTCTTGTTCCGTTAATTCTTTTGAGTAGTGTACATCGGTAATAAGTACGTGAATTCAAAATCCGCTTCGCTTTTGTGCTCATCTGAGTTACAAACCGGCCTTTAAAACAAAAAATAAAGAAAGAAAATAAATAAAGAGAAAATTATTGGAGTAGTGTACATCTGCATCATGAGCATCTCCCCTATATAGCGTCATATGGTGTCAGTCCTCCCTCCCCGCCTTCAAATTTCTATGGCCAGGTAGGTCCCCCCCTCCCCCCACACACACCCAAGTATTTGCCTGCAACTGGGGACCCCCTATTGTTCCTCTTTTGTTTGTACTTAAACATTTTTAGAAGATCACCCATATGTTTTGTACACAGTTGTCAATCGGGGACCCTCTGTCAATCGGGGACCTTATTGTCCTCTATTGTTCAAGGTCCCCAGTTGAATGCAGAAACAAACTCACACACACACAAATCTACCCCCATCCCCCAATTTCTGGCACAAATTTACGCCACTGCGTTTAACTAATTGAATATCTCTTCAGGCATAAAAAGCCTTTCTTAATATTTGATCATAATGTTCTTGGCCTGTACTCTTGGTTCGAATTTTAATGAGCGTAAATGTTACTTTTGATTGTCATATTTTCCCAATAGCGTTCTCAAAACATCGTGTTGTTCATATTAGTTATCTGTGAACCACTTTTATATTAGTGCCAAATTGAGTAATTTTGTAGGTAATTCTGAAGGTTTGTTTAATTCCAAAAAGAATTGATACATTTATTGTTTGAACACTCAATCTGCAGTTCAACATCCTGTTTGGTATCACTAAAGGGGTCAAACATGCCTCCCTGCGAAATGCCTTCAGCGGCAGCAGCAGTAGTAGTAGTATATTTATGGTTAATTATGTTTGTAGCAGACAGGCAAGGGCTGACAATGTAAACTTACAAGATAAACCTGAATTAAAAGAATCATAAATATAATATTAATATCACATGTACTATATACGGTAAAACTCGACACATATAAAAACTTTCGCAGACACATAACATAAAATATCAAAGACAATGTACAACCAACCAGCCAGTGAGAATTTAAAAACACTAAATAACATGAAAAAAAATTCAGATCACAAAGACATCTACGTACAATGATAAATGTTTGTATAAAAAATGTGGCAAAACAAGTTGAATGATTGCAAATACCGGTACCAAACCACAGAACAAGGTCAATCCAATATCCTGGTTTTCTAGCAAACTTTAAAGTGATTTGTAAATGTGTTAAAATCATCGTGTAGAATCGTCGGTATTATATCCTATGACAGTAAAAAAAACCATAGAAAGTGCAACCAGTGAGTGCTGCCTGTAACAGTCATGCACCAATGCCACGAATCATCTTTAGGTTCTGTGGAAAAGGTTGGATTAAACATCATCTGCTGTCATCATGCTGTCCCACACGCGAGAACGGTGTTATCCTTTCGTCGCGCCATATGGCGGTGCGCGCAGAAAAGAATCTGTCGAATACTTGAAAGTACAGACGTGGGGCCATGCTTGCAACTAAGATTTCCTTGGAATTCTATTCCATTTCAAGAAACTTGTTATTAATCGGTTCATATGGTTGCATGCAACTAGAAAAAATAAAAAGAGTAGAAAGTGGAAAGAAAAGCATTGTCAGGAAATGATTGCCTCGTTTATTTTTTCAGGTAAGGCAGGTTCTTAATATAATCTTTGGAACATCATAAATACTCGTGCAAATAATTAGATTTAAGTTTGCAGGACCATTCACAGGAAACTCTTTTTTCTCATCCATTTTTTTTCTATTGTTGAATTTTTTCCGTATTCTACTTGGTATGCAGAAATCTGGCCCGCATCACCGTAAAACTAACGTCGATAGAAATGAGTGAAGCCAAGCAAAACCTTTTATTTTAAAGGGTCGTTGGGGGTATACATGAACACAGTTTCAATATTTCCCTCAAGTGTCATATTTTCTGTCAAATATATACCTACAGATCACATCTAAAACCACAGACCGGCAAACTTACCAGGAAGTCCCAAAGTTCAAGTCATAATTCACCTCATCTGATCGAGAGTATTCTCCTGCTTGCTTCTAAGCCGTGTCACTTCTGCTCGCGCTCACGAATATAATTACTCATGTGAACAGGCGAGTTACACGTACACCCAGTCTTTAAGAACTTCCCAGGAATTCCTGGTATTCTCGAAACTCAGTAAATGCTTCAAAGCGGTGAGGAATCGTCCTCCGCGTTTATTGCATTTGAACAGATGATTGCAGCTCTCAGAAAAACGAACCCTTTTCAATTCATAATGGAACGTAGGTTAATTGTTTTTTTCTGGCAAATAATTATTTCTGAAGTACAATCCTCAACTCACGCACGGATGTATAAATCTACAACCTATAAGAAATATACACGTAATTTTTTTTTAATATTTTAATAAGTTGAAGATATGTTATTAAAATAAATATTCTAAAGCAGAGCAAGTCGCCTTTCAAATGTGTTTTTTCAAAGGGCAATTTTAAACGGTATAACCGTCCGTCTCCAGGGGTGAAGAATTTCTTTCACGGATGAAAGAAAAATTGGACAGTGTTTTAGAAGGGAGAAAAGTTATCTCTGCTTGACCTGGATACGCCACTGAAGGACTTCAGTTGGCAGTTACTGTGCTAAAAATGAATGTCATCGGTCAACCTTGGATGAGAGAGTTGCAAATCTTCATTCTGCTCAGCTTATATTAACGTATCGGCATTCTATTCACAATTCCAGGGAGAACCGATGTTCTTGAAAAGAATTCCCCAAAGCTTCTTTTATTTGTAAGCCGGAAAATGTTTCTTTGTTTTACCTTTGAGAAAGATTCTGCTACGATCGAAACGTCAGGCCCTCCTTATTTTTGTTTTTAGAGAGAAAAAAATAACTATTTTCCAAATCAACGACGAGCTGTGAAAAGACAGTGACTTGATGTCGATTCGTCATGAAAGTGGTGACCGACTAACACTTCAGTGGTTCACTTCACCATCGATTTGTGCAGAAAATGCAGTGCGTGTTTACAATCCCATCCCTTAATGCGAAGGGAAGACGAGTCGTTCATTAAGTAATTGCCTTTTGTTCGGTGGTGTTGTTATTCGTGCAAAGGCGCCTAAGCCTGACAGGCGGTTCTGCACGTCATCAGTCCCACGGGGTCTTCTGTGATCCCCTCGAGCGATGCCGACGGAAAATAGTTTTGTGTTGACCCAAGTTCTCCGGGCTTTGATGAAGTTGCCAACGATGGGTGCGCACTCATTTACTCTAGCTGTTAGATTTAATTGCCGGAATAAGTACAGTTGAAGCCAGAGAGAGAGAATATTTGTGTTGCGCTGGTGCCAGCCTTGTTAAAACCAATTTTTCAATGTGGAATTGGACTGCAGGAAGAAAAACTCGAAAGAAAGGGGGGTCTGTGAGTGGGTACATTAGTTATCTTGTCAACAACCTTTGGCTATTTTTATACACACAGGCCGGTTATTGCATTCTCCCGAGATTAAAACAAACAGAAAACATTACTTTTCGGGTGAAAAGGACTTGCAATTTATGAAACTTTGGCGATCTAGACGAGAGCCCACTCCAATGTTGGCGTGTAATTTCTGTACATTCACCTTGTCTCGAGTGTTTCGCTGCTGTTTCGCCAAAATGGCTTGAAAACAAATTTAATATTCACAATCATGTTATTTTTCAAAATGAACCACCTTCCACTAAACGCCTGATCTGTGAGTGCAATTGGTGCCACATTGACTCTACTGTATTTATTTTCACCTCGCAACGAACATATTGGTAGTCAACTTGTTTTAGCGACGACCCCAAGAGGTAAACTGTTCAAAACAATCGTCATACGAAATCCTTTTCTAATGCGAACAGTACCTTTCACGGCAATCGATGTTGGCCTGCAGTGATGTGAATCTACAAGAGATCCGTACCACGAGGCATGTCAGCGTCAGTGTTTTCATCCCAATAGTATCTCTTACCCCATAAGAGGCCTACCGATGAATTGGCAGTGAAAGCAATCAGATTTAACTGCCAGTTTTTCTGATACACAGCAGAGACAGGCTAGCGCACGCGTATCTAAGCCTATTCCAAGTGTCGAAGTCATCTTTCACCATTGAATTCGTCTATTCAACTCCAAACGCTCGGTTTGTCGTTCGTACGGTAAATGCAATAGACGGCCGATCTGATAGACAGAAGATCTGACTGACAGATATGACTGTAATCCAGGATAATGTCTACATAAGGCGAGCCGAAATGATTGCACTTGTGCTCTTGGGAAGTTTTCTCAGAGTTCCGTGAACTGCAAACCAAGCCGCATTTCCCAGTGGGTATTTTTCACTGCTGGAAGCTCATTTCATTTTGGACTCTTTATTTTCTTTATGCAGATGTATCCTGATTGATGTCAGGTCTTATTTACAGAGCACTCACAAAATGCCGACTCTTTAGACCCCGTAGGGCTTGGGCCTATACGCAGCGATTCCAACCCTCATCCCTGTCCACGTAAGCTCTCCATATTTCTGATCACAAGCAGCTCGGTGTTACTGGTAGTATGGTGGAAGCTACCGTACTGAGTTATAACAATTTTTGATGTATACAAATGCTGGTCCCGATAGGTTAATTATTGAAAATTATATTAATTCCGTGATAACGTATTTGGCACGAAAGCGAACACAAACGCGAATTTGGGACGTTAGATCAGGTATATTCGTGCTGCGAATTTGCACAAGTTGAACACATTTCAACTCGGCGAAAATTTGTTGCGAATCTTCCGTGACGTCAAAAGTATGAACCGCGCCCAGAAGTACTTTTATTGCTCTGCTTGATTTAGCGTACGTATTGCCTTCGAACCCGTTCCCCACCCTGTAGGCAAGGTGTTCGTAGTGTCTATAGCCTCCTTCCCCACGCGAATACGTACTCCAGGCAACCTCCAATATTTGGCTGACTAGTAAATGTTTAGATGACATAATGTTCGGGGGGTTATCGTTTCATTTCAGCGTTTATTACATTTTATGGATTTAATGGAGTTAAAGTTGTTAATTCGTGTTGATATTGCTGCTGGGGACAAGCATTCATGCTTTCAGTTTTCATCCACTATTTTCGCGTAACATTGATCTTTGTTCACGCAGTGAGCCTTTATGATTAAAGTGCGGTTATGATTACTATAATTTCGTTTTCAGTGTGCATGGCTTCTGTATCAAGCATGCTTGTCTTTCCTTGTGACGGGATTTTGGTAGGCTTCAGTCATTTGATGGAACTTGTATTACTGTGCGTGTATAGGAGGCTAACAATGATAATTATTTTTAATGTTGAATTGTGAAATTAAAATATTTTTAAACTTAAGGGTCGCTAGGATTTTTGTATACACCCACCGAGAGCTGTGTCACTCAGTTGGACCGTGAAGCTATAAAACCATTGGTAACGGTGATAGTGGTCCATCACTGTGTACGTGTGTGGTCACGTACAGCTGCTAATCTGTAGCTCGCGTGCCGTGCATTATAATAATTGTGCGTTTTCATTATTAGCATTAATGTTCCTCATTCTCTTCGGCAGGGCGATGCACCTGCCAGCAACTCACAACAAAAAGTGACATCACGGCAGTGGCGTCTCGGGATTGGTCAGTGGTGACTCGATCAGCCGGGAAGTAGCGATACGACTGCAAAGTACAAGCTGAGCTCGCTCGACAGTCGGACTCAGACGTCAACAGCCTCAGCCGGTGAAAGACAGCAGCCGCTCGGCAGCCGCTGAAGGGGGTCGTGGATTACCGTCCAATATCAGCAAAGGCACCCCGCCTGCGAATTTTGTGAGTACATAACTATGTCATCCATATCGTTCTAGGGAGAGTTCTGCGAATAACAGTTTTGAGTAGTGTCACAGATGTAGTGAGGCAAAGCACGAACAATTACTTTTTCTGACAAAATTTAGAATGTGTCTCATTTCTTTAACTTTTCACCGTGAGGGACATGCCCTATTTTTTTGTAAAGCTTATTAAAGCTCATCTTACTTCGTACTGCATCGACAGATTGAAGACCTACCCTCAAGGGTTTCACTCAGTTAATTTTAGTTTTTACCTCGGTCTTTTTGCCCATGCATAAAAAGAGAAGATAGTAAAAACATAGAAAAACATCAATTGGAGACTTCTCGGCAATTTATCTTGACGTTTATACGGTCTTGATGAAATATCCTAGGATGTGTCCCGGGAGGGCTTGTAGAAATACGTCCTGATAAAAATTACTTTAGGACAGTCGACGCGGTCGTCAACGCCTAGGTTTCTTGCGTACGGTAGGATTTTTTTATTGGGGAGGAATACATTATTCCAGTGCAGATACAAAAACCATTCCTCCCTTTACAACTGGAATCAGGAACAAAATTGTCGGATGTGATTTAAAACAGGGTATTGAAAAACAAATTGAGACTCCACCAAGCCATGGTTGTCCTGAATATCAAAATGTGTCCGTGGCGTTCGCTAGGTTCTCCTGCACCATAGGCGATTAAGTTATGGATAGGACTATGTGAAATCTTTGAAAGACTTTTTGGAAAGATTTCTTGCAATCGTCCAAGGACTTAGCACATCTTATAAACAGCGGAAGTTCGTTCAAACGTTCAGGAGCAGTTGTTGATATCGTTTCATCACCGTAAGACGTTATCTATGTTGATGCCAGGTCGCTCGATGTCGGTACTAGTAAGTAAAGAGCGAATGAGCTGACGATTTCTCATATGAATTCAGAAATGTGACGACGTACAGGGCCGATAATGCTGTGCGTTACATGTGCTTTATCTGAGAACACATAGTGGACTGCGAGCCAAGGTGATTGTCTTAGTATGTGTTATAATGATTCTACTTGTTCACACGTACTACCATTAGGGTGATGGCATTTTTAACTTGTTGCAGTTAGACAATCCAACGATCTGGAAAACTCCACCCCCCAAAAAAAGTTAAAGCTGTGTCCAACAATGACATGAGAAATGCGTGAATAAGCCTCACAGCAGCCGACTAATCAAGATATTTTGGAATACACGCGTTTTTACATTGAGTCGTAGGCAACAATCATTTTACTGATTAGAATTACTTTTTTAAAGATCTGTCAAAAGTGAGAGAGTACAAGAAACGCTGGTAATTATAATGTAAGCCTAAATGTACAGTTTTGTATGGCGCGCAAAGTTAACATTTAATCCCAGAATAGAGATATCTCTTTTCCTAGACATGCCAAGTTAACAGTTATTCACGGAATTGAGATATCTCCATTATTAATAGGGATGTCTCCATTCCTAATAGAGAGATCTCTATTGCGCTATAGGGATTCATGTATGTCTGTTAAGTTACCATTTCTGAGGTCAGCAGGTCGCCCTCGACGTTTTGTGTTTAAAAATCTATAATCATGAGGGGTTTTGAATCCGTGTCTCAGTACTTGTACTCCCGTGGTTTTTTACATTAGGAAACTTTACATAACCCTCTGGCTCAGTGAAAATTTGTGTGTTACGTTACAATGACCTTTCCGTTGACCTACTGTGCGGGACCGGAAACATAATAGAGATATCTCTATTAAATCAGGAAGAACAATAGAGATATCTCTATTAGGAATAGAGATATCTCTATTAGGAATAGAAATATCTCTATTAGGAATAGAGATATCTGTACACGCGGATTAAATGTTAACTTTGCACGCCATATTTTTAGATGCTCGGATGCAATTCTACGCGATTTAAATTCTCACTAGTCCCATAGTCAAAGCCAGTGAATCGGTTGTGTTGTTGTGTGATGCGTGTGTCGACTCGGAAATTAGCACTGCACGTACCAAGAACCCAGAGGATGATGTTACCAATTGACGACTCGGCGTCAAGTCTGTGCGCTGTAATGGCAGAAGCTCCGGGAAAGGTACTTTTATCAAGACACTATTTTCTGCTTCCTTCCAAGGGAAACTCTCTCCCTGCCCCCCCCCCCGACATCCGTGACACGAGTATGTTGAAAACCTTGGGCGTCCAAGAATGGAAGTAGTTTTGGCTCGAGATGCTTTGAGCGTGCGCGTCATTTGACAATACAAAGCGCCACCACCAGGTCTTGGATTTGTTTGCTGTGTTGGTGAAAGCATGTCTCAAAACAGCATTGTTTACCCCGCGTTTAGAGGCCGCTCGGGCACCATGGAGGACCTAACTGATTCTCCCTGTAACTGACCCTGAATTCATCTGTCCCTAGTGTATAAACCCGAACCAAAGGCTATTTTTATTTGCCCTTATTAACGTTTCAATAGTGAGATCGTAATGATTATCCTTATACAATGCCTGCATAAAGCCTTGTCATCTGATTGGTGGGTACTTGATCACGTGTCATTGCATTAGTCTTTCTTGTCAGATTTGTCTATAAATATGTAAACAAACTTGTGTGAACGAATGTTTAAGACCGGTCCAACCGTGGGCCAAGCGCAGAATAGACATGCATACATTTATAACTGTACAATAAGAGCGCGTTTTCATTAGATGGAAAGACCTGAGTGCCATTCTAATTTTATTCGTATAATTTTATACTTGGCAAAAAAGTAACGCGGTGTTTTCTGCATGTAAGCATAGGCCTATTGAACTAGAAATGTACAAATTATCGTGGAAATCGAGTTACAAACTGATTAATACGGTGTTTGCCCTCCCATCGCTGTGATGCACGCTTGGATGCGTTGGTGCATGGACTGGATCAGCCTCCTGAGGGTAACCTGACGTAGAGTGCGCCGCTCATCGGTTGAAGCGGCAACTTCTTGAGCTGTTCTGGGCACCACTGGACGTGACTGGATGCGGCAATCGAGTTCATCCCACACATGCTCGATGAGGCTTATTAGGTCCAGTGTGATGGTTAAGCTACTGATAGACTCTGGCGGCTTGTGATCGCGCATTGTAATGCCAATTAAGTTGAAACAGGGCTATGTTTGGGTGTCCATCAATGACCTCACTACTGGCTCCAGAATACCATCCCAGTACCTCTGGGAATTGAGGTTATCACTAATGGCCAGAAATCAGTACGGTCATTTGCTGTGATACCGCCCCAGACCAGGATGTTGGGACCTCCCCATCTGTCATACTCTACCACATTACAGTCGAAGAACCGTTCACCGCGACCATGGTAAACTCGAACTCTCCTATCATTATTGCTTACACGGAAAAGTGATTATTAGAGAATAAGACTTGATTCCGCATCCTCTGCGTCCAGTCCCGGTGTTTGCTGGTACATGCCAACCCACACCAACGATGATCCGCCGTCAGTGGGAGACCCCTGTAAAGGGCGTCCTCTCTGGAGTCTTGCAGCACATTGTTAATTTCTGGCAGTCTGGGCACTATCTCTGTAATTCATTTGTCCAGTGTCTCCCTCGCCGTAATTTCTGCATTGCGGCGTCGATCATGGAGGTGTTACATAATGTACATGTACCAATTTAGACTGGGTGTCGTCACTGGAGGTCTACCGCCTCTCGGACGAACTGACACACTTCCAGTGTCTCTCACACAATGTCCGAATCTACTGATTGGACTTGGAAATGTACGGCCAAATCCCTCGCTGACATGTCTGCATCAACTTGAGCATTTCAACAGTGCGGGCTCGGTCAAACTGACTCAGCCTTGACATTCTCGTGTAAGTCCGTTTGCTTAAAAAAAGAGTTCTCGACATTAGCTATGACAAGAACATCTCAAAAAAATTGTCAGACCACCATTTTCGGGTTCAGAAAAGGGAACCCGAGAACCCGACTTGTTCGAAGTGTGAGGTTCTTTATAACCAGGAAGTGTAGTGCAAACGAATGGAGTACGCGCGTGTTGGCTCACGCGCTGGTTCTAATGCCTTGTGCACACATAAGTGCGCGTGAAGTAGGCCTACTGTATCCGGTTTCGTCCGGTTCCGGTTTTACATTACGTAGGTTATTGGGGTGCGTTGCGTACACGACGCCTCTTTCACGAAAACAAAAAATAACCTCATTAACATAACACATGTGCGTTGCGTTTGGCCATCAAAATCGCCCCGGGAGCGCCCCGGGAGCGATTTTGACGGATATGCAACACTTGGCGCAAGTTTTGACGCGTATATGGAAAGGTGCATTTAGGTACTTCGTCATGCACGCGCGCACACCGCTAATTGCCAGTTTCCATTAGATGAGCACTTGAGTTGCACGTTAATTCTGCTTCCATAGTTCCGTGTAGCTCTATGTGCAGTGGGCGTGGTTTAAACTGAAATGGCGTCCCACTTACGAACCGGATAGAGTACCCAAGTGAATACGTCACGCATCCAATTATGTATGCAAAAAACGTACAAATGGGAAGGCGCCTTAATACCTTTTGCATCCAATTATGTATGCAAAAGGTATTAAGGCGCCTTTCTATTTGTACGTTTTTTGGGTGTGTTGCGTACACAATACGTTCGTCCGTTTCACTTCCACGGACACAAAAATCGACCCATTAACATAATACTCGTGTGCATTTTGATGGGAGCAATATTGACTAATACGCAAAACATGTACTTGGCGCAAGTGTTGATGCGGATAATTATGGAAAGGTACCAATGTGCGCGCGTTCTCCTAAGTTTGTTTACACTGCATATTCTGGTTCAAAATGGCGTTACACTTCGGTACACTATACAACTCCATTGTTATAGCTCTCGTAGTTATGCATAGCTGCACAGTTTCCTCCAGTTATTTTATAGGGGGCCTATGGGTCGATTTGTTCAATTCGGTACGGTCGATTCACAATAGTGCCTCTCAGAGAGTTTGTAATGTGTTGACCAACCACAGTGCGCAAAATCTGTCGACCCTTTCCAAACGGGCATTAGATCGACAG